GCCCGGGTAAGAGCGACCTTTGGTGCGCAGTTCTTGGGGGCGCGAAGCAGCCAAACCCAAGGGTGTGGGCCGCTTATGTCGCATCGTGCTCGGCGATCGGGGGGAGCCCGATGAGCACGCACCAAAGATCACTCCGGCGAAGGGTCAATCTCACGTGTAGTCGACCTCTGTGCAACAACTCCACAGATGAAAGGAGAAGAGGAGGAGGAGGAGGAGCACGAGAAGGAGGAGGAGGAGGAGCAGGAGGAGGAGGAGGAGGAGCAGGAGGAGGATAGAGAGAGAGGAGAAAGCAGGAGAGGAGGAGGAGGAAGAGCAGAGAGGAGGCAGAGAGAGAGGGAGAGGAGAGGAGGAGGAGGAGGAGGAGGAGTGAGGGGGAGAGGAGGAGGAGGAGGAGGAGGAGGAGAGAAGAGGAGGAGTAAGGAGAGAGAGAAGGAGGAGAAGAGAAGGAGGAGGAGGAGGAGGAGAGGAGGAGGAGGAGTAGGGATGGAGAAGGAGGAGAAAGGAGGGGCAGGGAGGAGGAGGAGGAGGAGGAGGGGGGGGAGGAGAGGAGGGAAGAGGAAGGAGGAGGAGGATGGAGGAGGAGGAGGAGGAGGAGGAGGAGAGGAGGGAGAGGGAGGAGGAGGAAGGAGGGAGAGGAGAGGAGGAGGAGGAGGAAGGAGCGAGGAGGAGGAGGAGGAGGAGAGAGAGAGGAAGGAGAGGAGGAGGAGGGCCTGGCCCGCGATCGCGAGGAGGGCCGCCGGGATCGCGGCCTCCAGGCCCAGCGGCGAGCGCCTGGGCCTCCCCGGCGGGGTGCGACGTGCGCCGCGGGGCCGCCGCGGGGGGCGGTGCTGCCGCGGCCACGGGGCAGAGTTGGATCCACCCACTCCTCCTCCTCCTCCTCCTCCTCCTCCTCCTCCTCCTCTTTCCTCCTCCTCCTCCTCCTACCTCCTCCTCTCTCCTCCTCCTCTCCTCCTCCTCCTCCTCCTCCTCCTCTTTCTCCTCCTCCTCTCCTCCTCCTCCCTCCTCCTCCCTCCTCTCCTCCTCCTCCTCCTCCTCCCCCTCTCCCTCCCCCTCCCCCTACTTTTACGCTGGACCTGGGAGGCCAGAGATCGGGTCGGGCGAAAGGGGGGGATAGCAAAGGAGAGGGTTGAGGAGCAGCTCACGCAGCTGATTTTCCTGGCGCCTCCCGGCGCCGGAGGCGGCTATGTATCGAAGAATGGGCTCCTCCGTGGGGCCGAAGCCAGCTGCATGCAGCAGATTTCGTACCCCCACCCCATTCATAATCCCCCCTTTCGTCCGGCCCACCAGCACCAACACAGGGGGTTGCCTCCACAGGGGACGATTCATCCTCGATGTCGGTGTGGGTGGTGGGAGATTTCGGCCACCCTGGAAGCCAGAAGCAGTGCCACCATCGCCAAGATCGGGATCTTCTTCCCTCGGTGGACGCGCACCGCCAGTATATCGGTGTTGGTGTCAACCTGTAGGCCTGCGACAGAGGCTCAGGCCGCCCACACGTCCTCGAGGTAGCGCTCGCCTTCCACCATGGACGCGACCAGGTCCGCAGCGCGGGCGGTGGACCGGCCGCCGCAGAGCTCCGCGACGCGCTGGAACGCCTTCTTGACGTCGGGTGCCATGGCGCGGGCGTCGCCGCAGACGTAGATCGCGGCCTTGGGGTGCTGCAGCAGCCGCCAGACTTCCTGGCACTTCTCCACGATCACGTCCTGCACGTATACCTTCTGCGGGCCCTCCCGGCTGGCGGCGACGTGGAGCTCGGTGAGGGCGCCAGTCTTCAGGAACTCCTGCAGCTCCTCGCGGTACAGGAAATCCTGGGAGCTGTTGCGGCACCCGAAGAAGAGGACGGCGGGGCCGAGCTTCTTGCCGCTCCTCAGCAGGTGCTCGCGCTCCTGCAAGAATCCCATCATCGGCGCGAGCCCAGTGCCCGGCCCAACCATGATCATCGGCGCCAGCAGGTCGTCCGGCACGTGGAAGCCGCTCGAGAGCTTTCGGACGGAGCCCAGGATGACGTCGCCCGCGGCGAGGTTGCCCAGCGCAGTGGAAGCGACGCCCCTGTGCAGGCGCCCGGTGCCAGTCTTAAATTCAAGCTGGCCGACGCTCAGGGTCACGATGCGCTTGTCCTTGGCCCCCGCAGGGCTCGAGGACACGCTGTAGTACCTGGACTGCAGCAGTTTTGCGTGCGCAGCGAGCTCGCCGATGGCGAGGCTCCACGCGCCCTTGTGCTGCTGCAGCACCTCCGCCAGCGAGAGCTTCGGGGAGGCCACCTTCTCGCTGTACGCCTTGGCGTCCGCTCCCAGCGCTCGCAGCTGCCCGCGCGCACTCTCGTCCGTCAGCTTTCCAGCGAGCCAGCCGATCGTCTTCCTGTTGGGTACGGCGGCGAGGTCCGGGATCCACTGCATGAACAGCTCCGCCGTGACCAAGTACTTCGGCAAGAGCTTGCGCAGCGCCTGCATCCCCTCCTTCAGGTCGAACTTGATCCGGTCGCCCACGCTGGGGTCCCACACCACCGCGGCCTGTGGTGACAGGCCGACCGCATCCAGGGCCATCACGACCAGCTCCAGGGGGTTGGGGGGGAACACCTGGAGAGGAAGAAACGACATTAGACTTAAGTCGGGCCTGTCCCCCTACAGGGGGATTTGACGAAAAAAACAGAATCAAAAAATACGCACAAATGGCTAAAGACACTCCAAAAATGTCCTCAGACTATTGTTTGACTATTTTTGAATATTCCTCCTGTAGAGGGACAGGCCCGACTTAACACTAGACGTGAATCGAAGAAACCATAACTACAGAAACATAAACGTTTGGCGCTCCGCGTGAATGTCTTATACCTGCGCTGGACCCCCCTCCCTGGCGCGCTCCGCGCGCCAGGGGCGCCGCCGGAGACGCCGCCGGCGGGGCCCAGCGCGGATCCAAGAATCCCGCGCGGAGAGCCAAGCTGGCCATCGCTCGGACGTCCAGTCCCTGTGTTTTTTTCGGTTTCGTGCTTGGTTTTTTCGCCAAATCTTGCCGTCGCTCGGACGTCCATTTTTCGTGCATTTTTCGGTTTCGTAGGTGTTTTTTTTGCTCGATGATCCAGGATGGTCCTCGATGGTTCTCGCCGAGAACAAACGCACACGTCCGAGCGATGCCAGGAAATGATCAAGGATGCTCCTTGATGGTCATCGCCGAAGGAAGAATGCACACGTCCGAGCGACGCCAAGCAAAAGCTCCTGTTTCTGCCCGTGGTTTGCCCCTTCGGGTGCAGCCGTCGGAGGGCCGCGCGGACTACTTCCCGGCCAGCGCCGGACCCCCCCCTACCTGGTGCGCGAGGCGCACCTGGGGCGGCGCCAGAGGCGCCGCCAGGGGCCCCAGCCCAGGCCCAAGAAATGCGCGCGGGCCCCAGAGGTACGGGACGTGAAAACGACCACAGCCACTGCTTTTCTTTTGTTGCCGCCTTCCAGCCAGCAGAAACAAAGCAGTGGTTGTGGTCAATTTCGCTGAGATTGGCACCAGGGAAATGACCACAACCACTGCTTCTTTTTCGGCTGGCTGAAGGCGACGCAAACAAGAAGCAGTGGCTGTGGTCATTTTCCCGTCCCGCAAGAGGGTGCAGTCGACACGCTGTCAGAAGGGACCCATAAGCTTCGACTTCCCGCAGAAGGCCTGAGGACAACCTGCCCTGAGACCCGACCCTGCACAACAAATGCCACATCGCAGACATCACGACCGGAGCCCAGGGCCCCATCTTTCTGCGTAACGTTTCTAGCCAGGTCGATCTGTGAGGGCCCCCGGGGCCCGAAACGGAGCAAAAACTCCCTTCGTGGAAAACTTGCAACGCGAGGATCTCCGGGTAAGACAAGCTGTAAAACGAGTAAAATAAATAGACACAAATAACAGAATTCCTCTTTTACCTATATTTTCTGGATTCGTGTCTTCCCCCCCACTTCCCACATTTTCTGGGAATCAACGATGAATTGTGTCTGTGTGTTCGTTCCCCTCCTGAATGGAGCACTGAGCCCCTCCCCAACGAAAAGGGTTCCTTCTGCAACGGCCCGGCTACAGCCGTTCTTTTTCGAGCCTCGAGGTGGTCGCCCGCGCGGTACTCGCCGAGCTCCTCCGAGAGGCGCAGCGTCACGTGGCGCACGCTGCGTCCCTCCGGGTTCTGGCACAGCTCCCGGCTCGCCTCGGCGGCCTGGATCGTGTGGAGCTTGAAGTCGGCCTGGAGGTTATATTGCTTCAGTCGTACTTAAGGACCGCATCCCAGAAATAATTTCGAGCACCCAGAAAAGTGTCGAAAGAGTATCGAAACAGTGTCGAAACAGCGTCGGACAAATGTCTCCCAGGGCCGGACACGTGAAAACCCTCGAGTTTCGGTACTTTTTTCTGGTGCTCGAAACTCTCCCTGGTGATCAAGGCGAAAGTAGGTTGGAGCATCCTAACCTGAAGGGTGTGCGGAGCAGGGCTGTCCTTCTTGATGCGGGCCTTTGCCTTGTCGAGCTCCAGGAACAGGTCCTCCAGACGGTGAGGAGCAGCACTCGGGGATCTTCTGACCTGGGTCAATCCAGACCCGGGTCAGCAGGAAACCAAAAAACTACAATGCAGGAACAAAAACTGCAGCGCAGGTCTTCGCAAACCCGGGTCAGCCAACAGGCGCGGCCGCCTCGGGGCCACGAGCGGCTCGCTAGCCCGGGTCAGCCAGAGGGGGTCTTCGCAGGATCCTGCAGGATCCGGTGCCCTGGCCGACACCCGTCTGCACTGACCCCCGTCTCGAGGCTCCCGAAGCACTCACCAACGTACACGTCCGGTGGTCCGCGCGGGCTTCCGGGAGGGGCGATGGCTCCCCGTTGCGGCGTCTCCGGCGCCGCCCCTGGCGCGCTCCACTGAAGGGGCCCGGGGACACACAAATAAATACACACAAATTAAAGGATTCCCCATATTTCCCTGTATTCTTTGGGGTTTTGCCTTCCCCCCCAATTCCCATATCTTCCCATATTTTGGGGGGGATCGACGATGAATTGTGTCTGTGTGTTTTTTCCCTCCTGCTCCACGCGCAAGGGAGGGGGGTCCAGCGCCGATCAAGGAAAACCGCGAGGACCTCCAACAGCTTGTGTTTATTCAGTTTATGTTTCTTTTTCTTCTTCGATCCTTGCTGCTGGTGTACAGAGGCCCATCGAACTTCACTCCAGGACCCAGCAACACGAACTCTTGGTCGTGCTTGTCATCAACGGCCGCCGCGACTGGGCTGGAGCTCGGAGACGTCCCACCCACCACGCGCATGAGCGCCTCGAGCCACTCTTCGAAGTCGGACTCGAATGACGGGCCGTCGACGTCACAAGTGCCCAGGTCGAAGAGGCGCTGAGCACCGCAGCGCGTGAGGCCCGCGTCGACCTCCTTGGGAAATTGCTGGTAGGTGTGCCACTGTGAGTTACCCAGGCCGAACGTGGCGAAGCGCAGCCCAGCCAAGGAGCCTGACTGCTGACCCTGGAGCCAGGCCTTGAACTTCTTCGCGTTGTCTGGCGGCAGACCGTTGTAGGTCGAGGTGACAACCACCACCACGCGTCCGTCGGGAACCATGCCCTTCTCCTCCACCACACTGTCTAAGGTCGCCGTGGACGCGTCGAAGCCGAGCTTGCGGGAGGCAGCGGCCACCTGCGACGCGAATTCCTGGCTGGCCCCAGAGTTCGAGCCGTACAACACCTTCATCACCGGCATCGGGCCGCCCGCCGCCGAAGACGTCGTGGCGCCCTGCGCGGCCGACATCCCTGCCGGTGGCGGCTGCAGTGGCGCGACCGGGGACTCCAAGGGCGCGAGAACCTTCATGGACCCGCTCGGCCCGCAGCAGGGGCCCCCCGGCCGCGGGTAGATGTGCAGAGCGAGGTGGTGCGCCGAGGGGGCGGCTCCCCCAGCCTCCACGGTGGCCCTCAGCTTGTAGCCCGGGACCCCCACCCACTTGAAGTGGATGAGCATGGACGCGAGGAAGGTCTTGGCCTCGAAGAGCGCGAACTGGCTCCCGATGCAGGCCCGGGTGGCGAACCCCCAGGGGTGGTAGGCGTTCGGGTGCCGGGCCGCGACGGCCTCCGGAGAGAAGCGGTCTGGGTTGAAGCTCAGCGGGTCGCCGAACGATCCGCCCCAGTACTCCGGGTTCGTGTGTAGCGCGCGGGTGACCATGGTGATCCGGCTGCCCTGGTAGACGGCGTAGCCGTTCAGCAGGGTGTCCTGCGCGGCGTCCCTGGTGAGGCCGGTCACCGGGCTGTAGAGCCTCAGCGCCTCGCGGAAGCACTGCTCCACGTACTGCAGCTTGGGCACGTCCTCGGCCTCCGGCTCGGTGCGCCCCTGCAGCACCCGGCGGACCTCCTCCAGCGCCCTGGCCTCGCACTCGGGGTGCTCGGCCAGCAGCTGCATGGTGAAGCCGAGGGTGGCCGCAGTTGTCTCGTGGCCGGCGATCATCAGGTTGATGATGTGGGCGTAGAGCACGCCGTACCGCACGTGCTTTCCGGACGAGGCCCTGTCCTCGAGCATGCTGCGGATGATGGAGTTCTGGCCGCCCAGCTCGCCGCGCCGCGTGGAGGCCACCATCTCCTCCACCAGGTCCTCGAGCCTCTTCTTGTGGAGGCCGTAGCGGTCCTTGAGGCGGCGCGCGGCCCCGAAGAAGGGAACGAACCGCCGCAGGCCGAACTCGCTCTTCGGCGTGACGGTGCCGCCGGAGTAGCCGAGGCCGAAGCGGAACGAGTCCACGAAGGGGTGGGGAGGCTGCCCGGCGCCCAGCCGCTCAACGTTCCGCATGTCCATGCCCATGCTGCAGCTGACCTGGGCGGGGCGCGCAGGAGGCCGCCGGCGGCAGGGGCGCCGAGGGCGCGGGGTGCTGATCTGCGGATAGGCGGGAAGGCTCGCGAGGGCCTCTGCGAGGGGGCGCCGCGGCGGCGGGGAGGGCCTCCAAAAGGGGCCCCCTGCCGTGTGAGGAGCGCCCCCGCCTTTTCCGAAGGGCGCCCCCCCCCCCGCGCCGCTCCCCTGGTGCGCGCCACGGTTGTGGGAGGAGAAGAGCTATCCTGTTGGGAGGGAGGGGTTGGCAGGAGGAAGGGCCTGAGCAGCAGCATTCGCATTCGATGCGCGATGCCTTCGACCGCCTACGGGTAGTGATAGAACCTCATTTCTCCCAACCCCATCTCGGGGGGAACGAGAGGGGGGGGACAGCAGAGGGTAGGGCAGATACTCAGCTCAAGTAGCTGATTTTCCCAGCGCCTCCCGGCGCCGGGGGGCGCCCATGTATCGAGGAATGGGCCCGGCGGCGGGGCCGAAACCAGCTGCATGCAGCAGATTTCGTAACCCTCCCTTTCCCTATCCCCCCCTTTCGTTCGGCCAGACCATCCTCCCACCCCCCTCTCTATCTTCCTTACAATGACCACCGCGTCCGCGGTCATCGCGGTGAGCCAGTCGTTCACGTCTGTGACGAGATGCCCGGCCGGGAGGGACGACCACTCCCTCACGAAGGCGCGGGTCTTTGACAAGATCTGCGGCGCGAATGCCTTCACCTTGTTCTGTTGCATCTTCCGAGGACCTTGTCTGTCCCGTCGCGCCCCTATCCGCATCGAATACGCGTCGAATCCAAATCAGGCTCGTCGAGTCCGTGACGAAGCCGTGTCGAATTCGTATCGAATCCATCTCAAATCCACGTCGGGTCCGCATGAAGCCCGCGTCGGGCACGAGAAAAGACACCACTTTGGGGGACAGACGAGGTCCCCCGAAGACGCCACGTGAACCTTGATCTGGTTGAAGCCGCGCGGGAGGAGACTGTGCCCGGTCTGCCAGTCCTCGCTGGTCTCGCTGCTGGTGAACAGGCCGTTGCCGGTGAAATCCTGGAGGTTCTTCTGGGCTGGGCGATTCCAGAGCTTCGGAAACTCGGCGCTCCTGTCGATGAGCTCCTGGGCGAGGCGGGCGTCTGCGGAGAACACCGAGTAGACGGAGGCGTCGCGGTGGAAGACCGTGCCCTCGGCGAAGTCCAGGATCTCGGTCTGCACGCCCCCGTTGGACGTCCTCACGGTGGCGCCGTACGGGTACGCGGGCGAGCCCGGGGGGAAGACCTTGGCGGTGAGGTTGTTTGTCTGCACGCTCTTCATCTACATAATGTGTATATATATACATCTGTACACGTACATGCATTCTAGAACCATCACGCGCTTTGCGCGCGCTCGGGTTCTAGCTAGGCTGGATGGTCGAACTCCCGGGACCTCTATTCTATGATGCTTCTTCTCCGGGGATTCCACAACCACGAGGACGGCCCAAGTGGCTTCCGAGACTTCCCACAGTCCACCCACGGCGGCCTAAGACACGCCTAAGATGCCCTTCGGGGGCCCTTCTCTTCGCCGCGGCTGGCCGTGGTTCCCTGGGGGGGAAGGAGGAGAATGAGGAGGAGGGGGAGGAGGCTGCAGAGGAGGAAGAGCGGGAGGAGAAGGAGGAAGAGGAGGAGGAGGCAGCGGAAATGTGACATTCATTTTCTTCGCAAGTGAGCCAAGCTGCCAGGCGAAAGCGAACAAAGGGGAACTGTTGGAAATCCCTTTTCCAAAATGCCCTCGGGGCCTCTTTTGGAATTCTTTTGGGTCTATTTGCGGCTTCTTGGGGGCCTCTTGAGGCCTCCTGGGGCGGAGATCTCGGGTTCTCGGTTCACGCTCCCGATCCTGGGCCGCGGTTGGGGCCCTCGCAGGCCGTCTTGGACGTCTCTTCGGCCGTTTTGGAACCGCCTTGGGGCCGTCTTGGGGCGCCTTGGAAGCCTATTGGGCCCTCTTGGGGCGATCGTCGGGGCCTCTTGGGGCGTCTTGCAGCGTCGGGAAGAGTAACATGCGGAAACACCAAAATTGCTCAACAACCGAAGGGACTGTTTTTTTGCCACTTCGAGCTCTCTTGGGAGACCTCTTGGAGGCATCTTGGGTATCTAGGAGGCCCCTTGGGCCGTCTGGAGGCCGTCTTGGGCGTCTTGGACCGTCTAGTGGCCTCCGGCTCATCCCGCCAGCGTGCCTGGGTTCGTCTGGATATCGTGGGAGGCCTCTCGGAGGCCTCTTGGAGGCAGTTTTGGAAGCCTCTTTTGGGCCGTTTGGGGGCCTGGTAGAGCTCTAGGGGGCCTCTTGGGCTCTCTTGGGAGCGTCTTGGGGCCTCCTGGGGGCCTCTTGGGGCGGAAGGCTCGAATTGTCGGTTCATGCTCCCCCTCTTGGGATCCTCTTGGACGTCTCTTGGGCCGTTTTGGAGCCCTCTTGGATCGTCTTGGGGCCCTCTTGGGTGCCTCTTGGGTCGTCTTGGGGCTGCCTTGGGGGCCTGTGGGGCCATTTTGGAGCGTAGGAAGCCAATAACGCTAGAACGCGAAACATAAAAAACAGAAGGACAATCACAGATCCTTGCCTCTTTGGGCCCTCTTGGGGATCGTCTTGGAGCGCTCTTGGGGCTTCTCTGGGGCCTCCTGGGCGTTCTTGGGCTGTTTTGGAAGCCTCTTGGACCCCCATTGGGCGCCTTCTGGTGCCCTCTTGTCCCGTCTCGGGCCGCCCTTGGACTCCCTGGGTTCCCGGATTGCTGTGGAGTGGCCGCTCCCAGGCCGGGGGGGGTCTATTCCCAGACATGCGACGTCCAGATTTTTTCAATACGGGGTCCCTGGAAGTCCAGACTTTTTCCCCGGGACCGACCGGATTTTCATCCATCCTGAACCGTTTTTGACGGCCCCAGGGCCTGGCGAGGGCTCCCCGAGGCCGGAAACTGGCAAGAACCTCGCTTCCGGCTTGCTTGACGACGCGATCCTGTCTTGGTGTATTCATGTTGTATGTTTACCTTGGCGGTGAGTTTTTTTTTTCCAGTAGGAAGGCGCCTAAAGCAGATCGGGACTTGGGCGTCCAGCTATTTGGTTTTAATTGGGAGGGCGACGAGGGACCGAGGGTGAAGAGGAGAAAGACGAGGCCGAGGGGGAAGCAACGACGAACCCAAAAGCGCAGAAACGACAACGCGGGAGGACAGGAAACGAAAGAGGAGGCGACAGAACGACCTTGGCGGTGAGGTTGTAGGTCGGCAGCTGCGGGCCGGAGAGAAGCAGCAGGTGCCCCACGAGCGGGTACGCCGCCCCCGGCTGCGGGAAGCAGGGCGGCGGCGGCGGCGCGGAGGAGGGGGCGCCGCCGGTGGCGGCCACCAGCTCCACCACCTAGAGGACAAAATCAGCTACGCCCAGGAGTGGCCCTATGCAAGGGTGACCTTCAGTGCGCGGATTATAAGGGGGCGCAAGGTGGCCATATCCAAGCGCGCAAGCAGCCACTGTCGCATCGCGCTCAGCGATCGGGAGGAGGGGGCGCGCCCGCTCCAAAAGTCACTCTGGCGAACGGCCACCCTGACTCTTCCGTTTAAGTCGGGCCTGTCCCCCTACAGGGGAATTTTCGACGAGAAAGAAAACAGATTCAAACAATACTCCCAAATGGTCAAAAATACTCCCAAATAATCCCCTGACTACTTTTTTACCATTTTTGAATATTCCTCCTGTGGAGGGACGGGCCCGATTTATCTTACGTCGACAACACAGCATCGATTCCGCTAATTCCAGGCCCTGTCCCAGGGTGAGGTCTGACCAGAAGCTCGCGGAGAATCCGGCCGAGGCGACGAGGGCTCCCTGGGACTCAGACCCCCGGCGCCATGATTGTTTCACAACGCTCCGACCCCCAGTCGGGGCTTCCTAAACGGGGGTGTAGCCAAACGGGGGCTCAGGCTTTAACACATGCCCCCGTCTACTGTACCCCCGTCTTCGGCGCCCAGGGCCCCCTAAACGGGGGGCATAGCCAAGCATGGAAATCGGCGTTCGCCGTGCCCCTGTTTGCTGTGCCCCCATCTCTGGCGCTCTGACCCAAGGGTCTCGACCCTTCCCCGGGATTGGTTCTTCATCTCCTGAATCGTTTCTGACGATCCCGAAGCCCGTTATACGGGCCCCAAAAGCCGAAGATAGCGAAAGACCTTCCGTCGCTATTTTTCTCAACGAGTCGAGAAGGTTTGGGATTAGGTCGGGCATGTCCCCCTGCAGGCGGATTTGGGACGAACAATCAACAATAGTCAAAAAAATGTTTCTCCTTCCAAAGGGGGGAAGTCCAGGGGAAAGTCCTTTTCCTCCTCCTCCTCCTCCTTCTTCTCCTCTTCCCCCTCCTGGTCGTCGTCGACGTCTTACGGGGTCGGCGGTACCGCGCGTCATGCCTTCACAATAGTCCAACAAGGATTCAACAAACAAACTCAAAACATTGTCCACAAATCGTCCCCTGATTATTTTGTGACTATGTTTGAATCTCCCTCCTGTAGAGGCACACGCCCGACTTATGATGGGCCTGTCTTCCACCACCACCACCAGTAGGAGGGGGAGGGGGTCCTCCTCCTCCTCCTCCTCCTCCTCCTCCTCCTCCTCCTCCTCCTCCTCCTCCTCCTCCTCCTCTTGCTCCTGCTCCTCCTCCTCCTCCTCCTGCTCCTGCTCCTCCTCCTGCTCCTCCTCCTCCTCCTCCTGCACCCCTCCAACTCATGGTGGTGGTGGTGGTGGAAAACAGGCCCGTCAGCTGAAGCCTGGGACCCCTCCTCCTCCGACCGCCTGCAGCAGCTCCGGGGCCCGGGCCAGGAGCAGCGCCTCGAAGGCGCCGGCCCCGGCGCCGCCGGGCCCGAGCACGTCGCGGCCCAGCGCGGCCGGGCCCCGCGCGGGGCGCACCACGGGCAGCAGCTGCAGGGCCTCCGCCTTGCAGAGGAGCAGAGAGCGGCGCACGCACACAAACGTGCGGAGGTCCGCGCGGACTCCTCCTCCTGCTCCTCCTCCTCCTCCTGCTCCTCCTCCTGCTCCTCCTCCCCTCCTCCTCCTCCTCCTCCTCCTCCCCCTCCTCCTCCTCCTCCTGCTCCCTCTGCTCCTCCTCCTCCTCCTCCTCCTCCTCCTCCTGCTCCTTCTCCTGCTCCTCCTCCTCTCCTTCTCCTCGTCGTCCTCCTCCTCTCCAACTCCTGCTCCCCTCCTCCTCCTCCTCCTCCTCCTCCTCCTCCTCCTCCTCCTCCTGCTACACCTGCCTCCTCCTCCTCCTTCCAACTCCTGCTCCTCCTCCTCCTCCTCCTCCTCCTCCTCCTCCTCCTCCTCCTCTCCTCCTCCTCCTCCCTCCTCCTCCTCCTTCTCCTGCTCCTCCTCCTCCTCTTCTTCCTCCTCTTCCCCCCTCCTCCTCCCTCTTCTTCCTCCTCTTCCTCCTCCTCCTCCTCTTCCTGCTCGACCTCCTGCTCCTCCTGCTCTCCTCCTCCCCCTCCTCCTCTTCCTCCTCCTTGGATCTGCGCCGGGCGCCCCCTGGCGGCGCCTCCGGCGCCGCCACTGGCGCGCTCCGTGCGCCAGAATTGGGGGGCCCAGCGCCGATCCAAGACATCCGCGCGCACATCCCGAGGTTTGTGCTTGTGCAACTCGTTGTCCCTCCACGCCTCCGCGGCGCCGAGACCGAGGGCCTTGGCGGCGACGTCGCGCAGGGTCGCGCCGTCGGCGCTCTTGGGGACCTGCCCCCGAGATCCCGCGTCGCGAGGCCGGAGCTGCACGGGGGAGTGGGACCCTCCTCCTCCTCCTCCTCCTCCTCCTCCTCCTCCTCCTCCTCCTCATAATCAGTTAATGCACTCATTACCGTCAGGTGGGGCCCCTCGCCGAAGGCGGCGGTGGCATTGGCAAGGCAAGTCGTCTGGTCGGCCAGCGGGCTCGCTGTGCAGACGCGCGGGGCTCCCCCATCTGCGGGACGCTGCGGCGTCTCTACACCAGACTGCCTCGCCGAGGTCCTCGGCTCCTCGGCTGGCCAAGCGACGAGACGTAGAACGTATACATCGGGCCTCTCCGACGCAGCATCGCGATCACAAGGAAACCCAGACATGCGACGTCCTGACTTTTTCAGGACGGCGTCCCTGGAAGTCCCGATTCTTTCCCCCGGGGCCAAATTCTCGCCCCGAGTCGTCTTTCGACGGTCCCGCGAGGCCCAGCGAGGGCCACCCGAGGCCAAAACTATCCAAAACACCTCCCGTCCTGTTATACATACATATATATATATAACTGACGCGAGCATGCCTAGGTTCCGTTGCAGCATCGCGAGCACAAGGAAACCGCGACCTGGAACCCTGCAACAGAAAAAGACAGCGTTCCCCGCGTTCTCTTCTCGAGCCTGTGCGTCGGGCCGCGAAGGCCCAGGCCTGCAGGCAAGCAGAGGCCGGGCATCTGAAGAGACGCGTCGGCAGATTCTCGAGGCTGCGCCGGTGGCGACTGAGTGGGATCATCTGTCTACAAGAGGAGGGAGGAGGAGGAGGAGGAGGAGGAGGAGGAGGAGGAAGAGGAGGAGGAGGAGGAGGAGCAGGAGTTGGAGGAGGAGGAGGAGGAGCAGGAGCAGGAGCAGGAGGAGAAGGAATAAGAGGAGGAGGAGGAGGAACAGGAGGAGGAGGACGAGGAAGTTACGTTGGGTCCGGTTGGGGGGGCATCTCTTGTACCACCAGGCTTGGCTGATGCCCTGAGTCGCCTTCGTGGCTATCTTTTTATGCTGCTATTTCACTGACCGCTACGTGCCTGGACAGACCCAGGGAAGGTGGGCTTTGATTTACGGTTGGGGCATTGGACAAGGAGCCCTTAGATAAGGAATCCAGGGTCCAGAAGCCTGTGGAAATCCACTAGTGGATCGACCATGGATATCACCACCGTCCTCATCAGATAAGGAATCCTCCAGGGTCTACAGCCTCCTGGGCACATTCCTTAACGAACGCCCCCACAGTATTTGCTATCAGCAGGGGGTATCAAGACTTGTCCAGGCACAACAGAAATCCGCTTAGCTACTGTCGCACGTGTACTTCGTCCTCTCCTTCGCTCATCCGGTTCGGTTGACTGTGACTTCGCTCGATCGGTCTCTCTCCACTCACACTGCCTGGCTGGCGCATACCCCGCGCCCCTAAGGGCTGTATGTTTTTCTTTCGCTGCCCGCCCTTCTCAGCTATGCTGCGTCAGCCAAGCGTCATCCCACCAGCCCTCTGGGCATAGGTGGTTTAGGGAGTTTCCTATTCCACCCCCCTTCTTCCCCTTCGGGGAGGGGTTTACCCCTCCCCCCTACCACCTCCCCTGGACCTGGACGGGCGGTGCCGCGACCCATTGAAGCTTCCAAAACGGCCTCGGCGAGGAAGCCAAAATCAGTTGTTTCAAACAGGTTTTGGCTCCATGTTGGCCTCTTGGGAGGGGGCAAGGCTAATCGCCCCCCCCCCCCTTCTTTGATCGATGGCCTCCACGATGGCCCCAAGATGTCGCCCAGGAGGCCCCAAGAGGCCCCAAGATGGCCCCAAGGCGGCTCCAAGATGGCCCCCAAAGGCTCCCAGGAGGCCCCGAAGAGGACCCCAAGCGGCCCCAAGAGGCCCCCCCGAGGCACCCAAGACGCCCAAGAGCCCCCCAGGACCGGCAGGAGACCCTTAAGACATCCCAAGAAGCCTCCAGGAGGCGCCCAAGAGATACCCCAAAAGGCTCCGAGAGGGATCCAGGAGACCTCTGGCCCTTTTGCTTGCCTTCCTCCTCCTGCTCCTCCTACCTCCTGCTACTCCTTCTCTTCCTCCTCCGCCTCCTCCTCTTCCTCCTCATCGTATTCACCTTCCTTCTCCCCATTCCCCTATCCATCCATCCAGCCTCCTCCTTCTCCCCCTGTCTCCTTCGCATGGTTCGGCCGTGTACCTCTTTGCTTCCGCACTTCCCTGATCACCAGAACTCGCCTGGACATCGTTTCTGGATGGGCTGGTGGGGATACGCAAAGTGTCTAGAACTTAGTGTGTTCTTGGCCTAACTCACTTTTGTTTTTCAATTCATTCCTGCACGCTGCGTGCTCTAGCGTCCGAGCAGCGTCAAAAGAGGAAGAGGAGGATAAGCAGGAGCAGGAGGTGGAGGAGGAGGAGGACGAGGAAGAGAAGGAGAGGGAAAGAGCAAGAGGGGTGAGACGACACTGACATCAAGGGTGGCTGTGTGCTCAGAAGTCCCCGGGGGGCCCAAAACTCGGCAAAGGCGCTCAACCTACAACAACGGTTGCGGCGCCCGGATCTTGGGCTCTCAACAGGTCTCAAGCCCGTCCCCATCCCTACGATCGACAAACCCAAGGCGATGACAAGCTCCAGCACGTGCCCTCGGAAGCCGAAACCCTTGACCTCGGCACGATGATAAGGGGATGCCGACCGATCGTAGGGAGATGCAGGCACCCAGACATCCAGCGACGTTTGTGTATGCATATATATATATAGATATATATATAGATGTATATATATATATATAACTTAAACAGAAGAGAAGAAACACATATTTTTCAGTACGCGCTCCCGAAGAAATCCCGACACCTTTCCCAGGGGCCGTTTTTCGTCCAGAGCAATGTTGTTTCATGGCCCTGGGCCTGACCACAGGTCCCAAAGGCCAGAATCGGGAAATGATTGTGGGATCTGAAAACACATATCGTCGGAAATCTGGGTATGTGTCATAATTAACCAGCTTTGGAAACATCCGTATCCCTAAGATCGACCAGCCCGACATGATGGCCCATCTCAGGGATGCACCTTCAGAACACCTAAAAATAGTCCTCCAAACCGACACCGAGCTAATGTGATGCAAATCACAAGTGTGTGGATATGTTTCAGGCCGGGCTGGAAAGTTCGGGTTGGGCGAAAGGGGGGGTAGCATGTTGAAGATGTTGTTGATGAGCATGGTGTGGCTGCTGATGGTGATGATGATGTGTATGGTGATGCAGGTGATGGTGATGGCGATGGCCATAGTGGTTCTGATGCTGCTGTTGATGATCATGATGACGACGATGACGACGATGACGACTGTTTGTCGTCTGGTGATGATGGGGGTGCTGATGACGATGGTGATGATGATGGTGATGATGCTGATGCTGCTGCTGATGATGATGATGGTTGTATACACTTCTCGATGTGTGCGTGTCGTCCTTGCGCAGGGGCCATGCTAATCGTCTCTGTATCGCTCCAATTTGAACGGATGGTCCCCGAAGGGAATACATGCCGATGATGATGATGATGATGATGATGATGATGATGATGATGATGATGATGATGATGATGATGATGATGATGATGACGAGGATGAGGATGATGATGCTGATGAGGATGAGGATGATGAGGATGAGGATGAGGATGAGGATGAGGATGAGGATGATGATGCTGCTGCTGCTGCTGATGATGATGATGATGATGATGATGATGATGATGGTTCTGTGGTTTTCCAGTCTTGGCATGCTCCCCAGCGGCTGCGCCGCGCCGAGGGCGGCCCGAAGGGGTACCCCCGGACCGCCCCGCACGGCCGCCGGAGGGCCCAGCCACGACCCCAAAAAGCCCACCTCCCTCCTCCTCCTCCTCCTCCTCCTCCTCCTCCTCCTCCTCCTCCTCCTCCTCCTCCTCCTCCTCCTCCTCCCTCCTCCTCCTCCTCCTCCTCCTCCTCCTCCTCCTCCTCCTCCTCCTCCTCCTCCTCCTCCTCCTCCTCCTCCGTGGCGAGGCCCTAAAGCCAGTCCCCTCTGAAAAAGCTTCCTGTGCCGTCCCAGGAGGCGCGGGGAACTGAGACGTGCTGCTTCTCCTTCGCGGGCGGCGTCGAGTCACGAGCGGTCGCAGGCTCGCTCGCAGAGTGCGCGCTCAGTGACTCGGCCGCGTCTGCGCAGCTGTGCGCAGGCTGCTCGGCAGGCGCCCCCCGAGGGTTGGCAAAGAACTCAACCGCATGCTCTGCCGACTGGTCGTGGGTACCCTGGCTAGCCAAGACTCCCGTGTACCAGTCACGTAGCGCCACCCTCTCGCGCGAACCTCCTCACTTCTCCCCGCGCTCGCCGCCGACTCGTGACGTGCTTCGTGAGAAGGGTCGCCCGCGGAGCGAAGGGGACTTCTGAGACCGCGGCGTTGCATGCTGGTGCTCAGGCTTCCCAGTCTGGCCATCGCTCGGACGCCCATTCCCTGTGCTTTTCTCGGTCTCGCGTGGTGTTTTTTCGCCAAGTGATCAAAGATGCTCCTCGATGGCCCTCGCCGAGAAAAATCGGCGGTAGACAAACCTTCCTTTAGTAAACCTCCCTATAGTGAAAACGGCCTGGGACCGAAACCGACGGACCTGGACCCGCAAACATGACGGCCAAAAAACGAAAACCGAAAACGGCCAATTCGCTAATCGACGTGTCAGTGTAGGAGGTCTGTCAACATTTGAGAACAAATGCACACGTCCCGAGCGGTGCCAGGGCGTGCGAGCGAGAGCGTCGGGCGACGACCCTGCGCGTGCAGCCGGCAGGCTTGAGGGCGTCAGGCGACGACCTGGCCCGAGCAGCCGGTTTCGTGCGTGGTTTCTTCGCCAAATGATCAAAGATGCTCCTCGATGGCCCTCGCCGAGACAAAAATGCACGCGTCCGAGCGGTGCCAGGGAGGTGCGAGCGAGAGCGCGTCGGGCGACGGCCCTGCGCGTGCAGAGCCGGCCGGCTCGAGGGGGCGTCGGGCGACGACCGTGCCCGAGCAGCAGAGCGGTTCTCTCAAAAGCTCATCTCCCAGTGGAGGCGGCGGCCGGGCGCTGTGCGCGCGGCGCGGCGGCCTCCTCCTCCTCCTCCTCCTCCTCCTCCTCCTCCTCCTCCTCCTCCTCCTCCCTCCTCCTCCTCCCCCTCCTCCTCCTCCTCCTCCTCCCCCTCCTCCTCCTCCTTCTCCTCCCTCCTCCTCCTCCTCCTCCCTCCTCCTCCTCCTCCTCCTCCCTCCTCCTCTCCCTCCTCCCCTCCTCCTCCTCCTCCTCCTCCTCCTCCTCCTCCTCCCTCCTCCCTCCTCCTCCTCCTCCTCCTCCTCCTCCTCCTCCTCCTCCTCCTCGGGCCTGCCGCGCGCGGCGCGGCGGCCTCTCCTCGGAAAAAATAGCGCGCCGCGGGAGCCGCCCGCACGGGGCCGCCGGGAGCGCGGGCGTCCCGCGGGCGGGCACGCGTGCTCTCCCGCCCGCCGTCCCCTCCCCCTCATCCGCCTCCTGCCCCCCTCTCCCTCCCCCTCCCCCCCCTCCTCCCCCGTCCCCCCCCTCAAGGGTGAAGTCGGGCGTGTCCCCCTACAGGGGGATCTTCGACGAAACATAAGACAGATTCGACAAATGCGCCAACATGACAAACAAATAGCCCCCCCAAATGGTCCCCAGACTATGTTTTCGACTATCGTTTAATATTCCCTCTGTACAGAGACAAGCCCGACTTAGGCCAAAGGCCCAAGAATCTTAACTTGGTGGGCCTCGAGAAAATACAGTCGGTGCGTTGGCATAAGGAGCCCTAGATAAGAAACGGGGCCCCTGTCTCCCACAAGTTACACCTCGATTTCCCACGGAAGACCTCGGGAAAACCGAAGACAAACTGCAGAACAATCGAGGAAAACCGAGCCCCTCCCCAACGAAAAGGGCTCCTTCTTCAGGGCCCCGACTGTGGGTGAAATCGGCCAGGACGGGCCTCTGGCTGGGCCTCTGGATGGGCCCGGATGGCATACCCGCTCCAACTCGGTCCCCAGACCCCAGCCAGGGTCCACCTGGTGCAGCGTTGCACCCCAGGCCCGTTTCTGATGGTCTTATGTCGGGCGTGTCCCCCTACAGGGGAATTTCGACGAAAAAATTAAACACACCCCCAAAATACCCCCGAACGGTCAAACATTTTTCAAAAAATAATCCCCAGACTATTTTTGGACTACTTTTGGGGTATTTCCTATTTTTTTGTCGAACATCCCCCTGTATAGGGGGACAGGCCCGACACAATGATGGCCCCGGGGCCCGAGCTCGGCCCCCCGGGGCCGAGAGGGGCAACCGGCCGCCCCGAACCCGGAACCTCGAGCCGCTGCCCCCCCTTCCTGCCCGCCGAGAGCACTGCCGGGCCACCGCAGACCCCCCTTTCCGTCGGGAGCGTCCAAGAGGGGGGCGCCCAAAGGGGGGTGAAAAGGGGCCCCGGGGCACACAAAGAAGCACACACAAAAATATCAGGAGTCACCATATTTCCCTACGTGTTCTGGGTTTTTGTCTTCCCCCCCACTTCCCATATTTTCCCACATTTTCCTGGGAGTGGACGAGTAATTGTGTCTGTGTGTTTTCTTCCCTCCTGAGAGAGGGGGTGCAAAACAGAGGCGCCATGACATCTGGGGAAAAGGCATGGCCCACGCCATGATATCCCCACCCCTAGTCTTAGGTCGGGCCTGTCCCCCAACAGTGGACGGGGATTTGGGGCGACAAATTTTAAAAGTAGTCGAAAAATGCCCCCCAAGTTGTCAAAACATACTAACATAAATCGTCCTCATAAGATTTTCTGACTGTTCTTGGATATTCTCCTCCTGTAGGGGGGCTGGCCCGAGTTCAACCCTGGCCATCACCCCCCTCTCCGCCGCCCCCGACGTTGGCTCCAAGGGGGCCCCGCTGGGAACCACCCGTCGGCTACACGCAGGAGTGACCCTGGGTGAGAGTGACCTTTGGTGCGCGGCTTTTTTGTTGGCCGCGGGGGGACCAACCACAGGCGCGCAAGGCGTTACTATCGCATCGCGTTCGGCGATCGGGGAACCCCATTGTGCCCGCACCAAAGGTCACTCCAGCGAAAGGTCACTCTTACGTCTAGTCGAGCCTGGAGGCCCCCACAGTGTACACCACCACCACCTCCATCCCCCCCTCCCCCCTCCACAATCATACCCAGCCCTCCTCGCGCTGTGAAAAAAATCGCGACGGGAGGTTTTTCGCTAGGTTCGGAGGCCTTCACCAGCACCCAGCCCGTCTCGCCGCCCGCGGGGCTGCCCGGGGCGTAGACGGCGCAGTGGTGCTCGAACGACGAGGCCGCGCATCGCCGGGACGCGCGCTCCTCGTGTCGGCGGCGCGCCCCGAGGGTCTCCTCCTCCTCCTCCTCCTCCTCCTCCTCCTCGCCCTCCTCCCTCCTCCTCCTCCTCGCCCTCCTGCCTCCTCCTCCTCCTCCTCGCCCTCCTCCCTCCTCCTCCTCCTCCTCCTCCTCGTCCTCCTGCTGCTCCTCCTCCTCCTCCTCTCCTCCTCTCCTCCGCCCTCCTCCTCCTCCTCCTCCCCTCCTCCCTCCTCCTCCTCCTCCTCTCCTCCTCCTGCTCCTCCTCCTCCTCCCTCCCTCCTCCTCCTCCTCCTCCTCCTCCCTCCTCCTCCTCTCCTCCTCCTTCTTGCCCTCCTCCTTCTCGCCCTCATCCTCCTCCTCCTCTCCTCCTCCTCCTCCTCCTTCTCGTCCTCCTCCTCTCTCCTCCTCCTCTCTCCTCCTCCTCCTCCTCCTCCTCCTCCTCCTCCTCCTCCTCCTCCTCCTCCTCCTCCTCCTCCCTCTTCCCTCCCTCCCTCCCTTCCTCCCTGCGAAGGGGCGGGCCTTCGCAGAAGGCTCCGAAGTCCCCCGGCCTCGAAAGCTTCCTGAGCCCTCCCCGAGACGCCGACAAAAACTCCCCCTCGAAGTCGCAGAAGGAGTCGGCGGCGCGCCCATAGGGGGGACGCGCGAAGGGCCCGACCTTCCCTAGGGAAGCGGAGGATGACATCAACAGAAAAACTGCGGAGGTCCGCGCTGATTTCTCGGAGCGGCGCTGGACCCCCCTCGGCTACACGCAAGGGTGACCCTGAGTGAGAGTGACCCTTGGTGCGCGGCTTTTTGGGGGGCCGCGTGGGGCGCGCACGCCGCTGGTCCTGCTTCGTTTCCAGCCATCTGGGGACCCATCGTGCCCGCACCAAAGGTCACTCCGGCGAAAGGTCACTCTCACGTCTGCTCGACCCCCTGGCGGCGCCTCCGGCGCCGCCCCTGGCCCGCCCCGCGCGCCAGGGAAGGGGGTCCTGCGCCGATCCGAGAAATCCGAGCGGACCTCCGAGTTATTTATGCTTATTATGTCATTGTTCGTTTCCCTAGTCTCAGAAGGCTCGGAAGTCCCCCGGCCTTCTGAGAAGTTTCCTGAGCCTTCCCCGAAGACGACGAACAAAACTTCTCAGATGGCGAGGGCTCCTGAGAAGTCCCGCCGCCTTCTGAGAATGCCTTGCCCTTCTCACTCCCCCCCCTCGCTCGCTGCCGACTCATGGGCGGCGAACGTGTCCACATCTACGCCCTCACGATCTGGATTCTGGTGTTAGGTCTGGCATGTCCTCCTACAGGCGGATTTTGGAGAAAAAAAATGAACAGCAGCGACAAAATCAGAGTGAGGGGGCCGAACGGTCATTCGTTGTCCTTGGGTGCGTGGCTCTAGTGCGGATCCGTGGTTGGGATTATGCTTGTTGCGGTTTTGTTGCTGTTGTTATTGTTTTTGTTGGTGGTGTTGCTGTTGTTGTTGCTGCTGCTGCTGTTGTTATTGGTGGTGTTGTTGTAGTTGTTGTAGTTGTTGTAGTTGTAGTTGTAGTTGTAGTTGTAGTTGTAGTTGCAGTTGTAGATGTAGTTACTGTTGCCGTTGCTGTTGCTGTTGTTGTTGCTGCTGTTGTTGTTGTTGTTGTTGTTGTTGTTATTGTTGTTGTTGTTGTTGTTGTTGTTGTTATTGCTGTTGTTGTTGTTTGTTGTCGTCGTCCCCCCTGCGACCCACCCCGCGACCCACCCCGCGACCCACCCCACGACTCACCCGCGACCCACCCACGACCCACCCAGCGACCCGCGCGCGACCCACCCACGACCCACCCGCGACCCACCCGCGACCCACCCTGCGACCAACCCCGCGACCCCCCCGCGACCCCCCCGCGACCCACCCCGCGACCCACCCCACGACCCACCCCGCGACCCACCCCGCGACCCACCCGCGACCCACCCGCGACCCACCCCGCGACCCACCCGCGACCCATGCGCGACCCATGCGCGACCCATGCGCGACCCACCCGCTACCTGGCCCGCGACCCACCCGCGACCCGGCTTCCAGCCACATTGCTTTACCGACAAAAATCGGCGCCTGCGGCGGGCTCATAGATCCCAGGACGTCCATCGATTTTTGGTGTGGGAACGTCGCGCTCTCCATAGCAAGACCATCGATACCCCAGAAACCCGGGGCACCATGGAGGAAAACAGGGTGTTGCTTGGCATGGGCCTCCATTGTACGCGCGGTGGCACAGCGACCCTACGCCGCGGCTTGCGCGGGCCGCCCGCGCGGGCCACACCTCGTGGGCAACGGGGGCGCTTACGCGCGGCCTGACGCGTGCAGTTATGCGCGCCAATGTCGGCGCAGACGACCCCGTTCTGTCTCGTCGCTCGTCTGGATTCTGAGGCGCCGAGCCCGTCATACGCGGTCGCATGGATACGGTGTGGGGGCTTGGATAAGGAGCCAGTGAACCAGGAATCCAGGGTCTGGAAGCCGATGGACCTCCAGTCGTGGGATCGGCGATGGACGTCGCCGCCGCCCTCCTACCAGCTAAGGCATCCCCCAGGGCCTGAAGCCTCCTGGGCGCACTCCTTGACCGACGCCCCCGCCTTGCGAACCAGCGCGGGGTCGCGGCTATGGGGCCCCGCCCGCGAGGCTGTGGATACGCGTATGTGTTCCGCCCACGAGCTTTAGGTCGGGCATGTCCCCCTACAAGCGGATGCTGGACGACAAATTGAAAATACTCCGAACATGCCCCCAAAAAGTCAGAAATAGTCCACAGAATAGTTCCCAGACTATGCTTTGACTATTCGTGTATACACCTCATGTAGAGGGACATGTCCGACTTGACACGAGCTCCTGGGCACCCCGCGCGGCGCGCGCGGCCAGCCACAGCGCCAGGCCCGCCCCGGCGGCGGCCGCAGCGACGGTCACCTCCCGGCTGGGCCTCGAGAGAATGGCCACGGGTCCGAGGCCGGACTCTGTGCACGCCCCCCCCGAGATGCGAACGGACAGACGGGAGGGGGGCCCATCGGAAAGTGCTGCCAGGTCGCGGAGTAGCAGGACGAGGAGGAGGAGGAGGAAGAGGAGGAGGAGGAGAAGGAGGAGGAGGGGGAGGAGAAGGAGGAGGAGAAGGGGGGAGGACGAGGAGGAGGAGGAGGCGGAGGAGGCGGAGGAGGAGGAGGAGGGAGGAGGAGGAGGAGGAGGAGGAGGAAGTGGCCCGAGACAAGAGTGGCCTGTTGTGCGCGGCGCTTCTCGGCAGCGCGCACCAAGGGGGGAGGGGGGTAGGCTTCTAGAAGTAGACCTGCTTCTTGAAGGCGCCTGCTCCACATCTGCAGTCGAGGCCCGCACCCTCTTAGAAGCAGGGGTGCTTCTCCTCCTCCTCCTCCTCCTCCTCCTCCTCCTCCCTTTTCCTCCTCCCTGCTCCCTCCCTCCTCCTTCCTCCTCCTCCTCCTCTCCTCCTCCTCCCTCCTCCTCCTCCTCCTCCTCCTCCTCCTCCTCCCTCCTCCCTCCTCCCTCCTCCCTCCTCCCTCCTCCCTCCTCCTCCTCCCTCCTCCCTCCTCCCTTCCGCCAACTCCGCGTACTCCTCCTCCTCCCCCTCCTGCTCCTGCTCTTGCTCCTGCTCCTGCTCCTGCTCCTGCTCCTCCTCCTCCTCCTCCTCCTCCTCCTCCTCCGCCCCCCTCTGCGCGTGGCCGAGCGCCGACCGTTGCATGCGAGGCGACAGCCGTCCCCTGCGTGCCACTCTGGACTTCTTCCCCCGCGGCCCCCGAGGCGTGCGCACCGAAGGCCAAACTCGAGCGATAGGGCCACTCTTGATGGGCCCATGTTCCACCACCACTATCATAGGCAGGAGAGGAGGAGGAGGAGGAGGAGGAGGAGGAGGAGGAGGAGGAGGAGGAGGAGGAGGAGGAAGAAGAAGAAGACTCGGCCTTGCGCGTGGTCTGTGCCGATCCCTGACCGCGCGTGACCCCGTGCAATCAGAGCCCTACCTCGAACGATCATCGAGCGAGTGCGATGAGGTCGTGAGTAGCGCGCGCCGTGCAGCCTGTCGTACGTGCTCGTACCCAGGCAGTCGCAAATCGTGAGACCCCTCGAGGGCTGGGGGGGACACCCCACTGGCCTCCCAGTGCCGAGCCCACGTCGCTGCGGGCGACGGGCAGGCCTCCGAGGCACCCGCCCCGCCCCGAGGAGGGACCCACACTCCAGCAAGCGACGGACGAAAGGGGAACGACGCGGGAGAGAGGGCGACGAGGCGAGAGGGCGAGGCCAAAGCAGGAGAAGAGCAGAGGAAGCAGCGGAGGGGAGTGTGGGTCCCCGAATTCAGGAAGATAGCCACTCCAAGAAAGACAGTGAGGACAGTGCCGTGCGCGGGGGCGGGGAGCAACGGTGCGAGGGTCACTAACGGCGCAACGCCGGGCAGTCCCCACTCGCGCCGCGCCCCCCGCTCGGCGCGGCCTAGAGGAAAGGGGCCTCGGGCATCGAGGTCACGTGGCAGTCAGGTACTCGGTGGTGGTCAGCGCGGGCGTGCACACAAAGCCGCGAATACACCACATAACATCATCAAAGAGCGAGAGAGAGCGCGCAGACGCCGAAGTCGGGCGGCGGCATCAGGTACGTGGGTGCGAGGAGGACGTATGGACCAGCCCGTCTGAATGTGTAATGTCAAGTATCTGTAAAAAGTAAGTGTCCATCTGAGCCAACTGTGAGCAGTCAAGTAAGACGAGGGGTTCCGTCGCATAGACTTGAAGCACGAGTCGGCGGGAGTCCACCAACCTCGAATCCTCAGGTACACAACGCTCCTTCGGAAAGATAGTTCGTGAACTCAGAATATGGAGGTGCTGTCCACGTCCGTCATACAATGTCATTCTGCGAGAGTTCCCGTGCTCTGATGCGGGCAAAGAGGGCAGCCCGACGAGCCTCCCACGGGGCGGGGCCCGAATCTGGCTGACTTACTTCGCGCCCTTGCCCTTGCTCTTTTGCTTCGTCTTGTCGAGGATGCGCTGCGCCATGGTCTCCAAGTGCCCCTGAGGGGCGGTCCCGAGCTTGAGCTTCGCGTCCTCCAGCTGGGCTAGCTTGATGATCGACTGCTCCACCTCCAGCTTGCTCAGATGACGCTCGGGCGGGCCCCCTTGAGCGTCCGCCAGCTGCACCGTGATGTCCCCGCCGATCGCGAACTGCAGTCGTGTGTACTCCTCGTTGTAGCACTTCTTCAAACGGAAGTGCCTGATCACTAATCCTAGCTCCGCGGCCAAGCTGATCGACACGAACTTCTCGTAAAAAAGGACCAGGGTTTGGTACGCCTGAGTCCCCAACTTCTGCAGCTTCTCTGAATCGACCATCGACTTGAACACGCCGCGCGCTATGTACAAATGTGGTGGCCCCAGGTGGGGCTTCGCTGCCGCGATGGCTGCCGCCTCCGCGTACATCTTGCCTGCTCCTCGCCCTGCGACCACCAGGAAGCTCAGCGTCGGGACGACCAGGCACACCCACTCCGACGCCGCCAGGTCCCTCAGCAGCTGCGCGTGCATGCGCGCCATCTTGAGCAAAATCGATATGGCCTGCTGCATGTCTCGAGCCCGAAGGGCCCCCTCGACCTGCTGAAGACCGTCTTCTGCCTCGTCTGCTGCGTCCCCGAGGTTGGCCTTTTTTTTCCCCGAGGGTGCTCCTCCGAGGTCCTCGCCGTCGCCTGCCTTGCGCTTGTGCTTCTTGATCAACAGCTCCAGGTCCATGGACTCCGCGTCTGGTTGCGACATGCCGCGGTCGAAGTCGAGGCCGAGGGAGAGTAGGAGCACCCAGGGCACAGTGTGTGCGTATGTGTACTTGCAGTTGTCGGAGATCGTGAGCCGTGAAGCTGCATACGGGGCATTCGAGTGAAAAAGGTTGAACAACTTCTGCCGCCGTGTAGCTACTGCGTCCAAGAGCGCAGCGATTGTGGGCATAAGACCTTATAACATGTCGCTGAGCATTCTCCCGAGTGCTGAGAACCTGGAGGCACCTGAAACACTGGTTCGTGACCGTGAGAAGTGCTGCCTCGTTTCGAACTTTGTGAACTCTGCCTGCATGCAATAAAAGAGCTTTCATGCTGGTGAAGGAGGAGGAGGAGGAGGAGGAGGGGGAGGGGGAGGAGGAGGAGCAGGAGGAGGAGGAGGAGGAAGAGGAGGAGGAGGAGGAGGAGGAGCAGGAGCAGGAGGAGCAGGAGCAGGAGGAGCAGGAGGAGGACCTCCTTATCCTCCCTCCTCCCCCGTCCTACATATGGTATCGGTGGTGGAACATGTGCCCATCAACTTTTGCGTTGAATCGCCCTGAGATCTTGGCGTCGCCTGCTGTTCGCACCGGGCGACGTCGCCCGATTTTGAAGCCCAGAGGCCTTATCGAATCGATCGGGCTCGAAGAAGCCACGAAATGATGGGGTCTGGGGCGCCGGTCGGGATCTTCTGCGGCGCTGCATTTTTCGGGCGACGTCGCGTCTCAAGGCTCCAGGGCCCTAGGAGGAAGCGGACTCATGGACAGTTTTGGGCCCCGGGTGGGCCCAGATGTGTGTATGTATATATATATATATACATATATATATATATATATATGTATGTATATGTATGTATATATATATATATATATATATATATATATATATATCCATATTCACGTTCTGCTCACGCGCCAGAGAGAGCATCTCACCGAGGCCAACGTCCACCAGGCAAGGGCAACGGAGGGGCAACCAACCACCAAGAGCCACAAAAGAGCACCCCCAAGAAGGGTGGCAAGAGGGTGGGGAGCAAAAAAGACGGACTACGGACACAGAATCAACAGAGTTTCAATTCATCTGATGACTGTGCAAACCACGGCGTTCACGCCAAATATAGATGGATTATCCCGCAAGCTAAGGAACATCCATATTCACGTTCTGCTCACGCGCCAGAGAGAGCATCTCACCGAGGCTCGAAGACTGTAAATCAAATCGCCGCCAGAGGCATAGATTTTGCAGTGGCAGGAGGCTGGTAGCCCAGCCGCTACCCTGGCCCAGCGAGCGTGGACGGGGACCCGAAGTCGTCCCGCCAACGTCCACCAGGCAAGGGCAACGGAGGGGCAACCAACCACCAAGAGCCACAAAAGAGCACCCACACCCGCACCAGAGTAGCGTTCTGGCCGAAGGCTTAAAAGGCAGAGCCTCCGGCACTGATGAGGTGAGATATCATCAGTGAAGCAATGGCCCGAGTAAGCTGGCGAGGATATGGCTGAGCGCGGAGGGTCCAGAAGGTTCCTGTCGGGTCTTTGCCCCGAAGCTCGACGTGGGGCTTTCCAGTCCTGGAACACACACCGCGGCCAGTGCACGTTTTTCCCACGGCCGAAAGGTGAGAGCAAGACAGGAGGAGCAGACGAGTGGGCTTAACCCAACGCTCCCCATACTGACAGAAGTGAAGCACCGTGAATGTAGTGTCATGAGATAATCGAAAATCTAGCATTTGAGGCATGTCCCATAAAAACTCGTGTTAGGGTTTTCCAACACAGCTGGGACGCCGTGAGCTGCTGCACATCGCATTAGCACCAGTGAGACCCCTAAGAGACGGTTCCCGTTTTCGACCTTAGCGAGGCCGGCGGGAGAAAGCCCAGGTTGGCCCTCCAGGTGCCAGGGATCCCGAAGAGGCCCAGGGCCGCGACCGTCGTTTTTTCGGGCCCGAGAAAAAGAAGTGCACGGCGTGCCTACCCAGAGGAAAAGACACCTACCCGAGGCAATGTGCGACAGCACACAGCGCAGCACGTCGTTGTCCAGCAGGTCGCCAGCGGGGCCGTGCTCGATGTCCCAGGTCAGCGCTGGGACGCCAAGCTCCGCGAAGGATTTGGCCAGCCGCCCGCTGCCCGAGAAGACCTCGATCACAAACCCGCCGCCGAGAGACCGCGGCGGGCTCCTGGCGGCCGAAGGGACGGCTGCCACGCGCCGCGAAGGACGAGCGAGAGGTTGGCCTCCGCCTCCTGGCACCAGCGGCTGGCCTCGGGCGTCAGAGCCTTGTGAAGCCTCTGCGCCCTGCCCGCCTTCATGTAGCGGAGCAAGGTGCGATCGTTCGCCCAGCGTCCTCGCTGCTTGACCGCCTGAATCTCCCTCGTCTTCATCAGGAAATCCCTCGACGCTCCCCCGTGGCGCAGCTGGTGCATTTCGAGGTTCAGCGAGCCCAGGCCCGCCGCACGACAAGCCGCCTGAAAGCGGCGCAGCAGCTGCGTCTGGCTGAAACTGAAGAGCCAGACCTCCGCATCCCCTCCGCGCAAGCCAGCAAGGAGGGCCCCTAAGCCGGGGAAGTCGGGGCTGTCGAGCGGGAGCGTGTCGTCGAACTGGCCGACCTTGGTCGGCTCCTCCCTCTCGAACGGCCGCAGGAGCAGACTCCAGCACGCGAGGGCCACGCCCGCGTTGGCCACCGGCTCCAGGAGGTCGCCTTCGACCACCGTCAGGAGCTCGGACGGGCGCAGGTAGCAGCAGAACATGAGGGCCAGCGCCAGCACCTCCTCGTGGAAGCCGTGGAGCGACAGGACACCCAAGATGCCCGCCAAGAGGCGGAACGGTAGAGGGTCCCTGCTGCCCACAGGCCCCTTCCGATGCCAAGCTCGAAGAACTCGTCGAAACCGAGGAAGGCTGGGCTTGCCGAACCGCTGCGCGTCGTGGTCCTCCAAGGCGGCCAGGAGCTTGGTCCCCGCGTCGACCTGTTCGCCGTCCAGGAACTGCAGGTCGGCAAAGTCGCGCAGCGCGTCGTCGCAAACTTTCAGGTTGGCCAAGGAGAGACCTTGGCTTCGCCCGAACTCCCAGAACTTGTCGAGCCGCCGACAGTAGTCCTTCCTGACGGGAGTCGACGGGTGAGAGCTGTCCAGCACTGTGCGCTCGCCCTTCAGAGCCCTCAGGGCTGGAACCACGCCCCCTATGGCACGAACCCGCTTCAACGCCCTCTGACGCTTGAGCACCAGGCGTCGAGCCGACCGACGTGTCTTCTCGGCCAGCACCGTGTCCAGCGGGTCCGCCTCTCGGCGAGGCCGAGGGAGCGGCGCGCCAGCCACTGGGCGGCGCCGAGGGCGCGGCCCAGTCAAGGCAGTCGGGCCCGCCGAAAGCACCAGGCGGCTCATGATGGCCACGCCCGCCGTCGGCGAAGGCACTGTCGCCTGGATCGACGGCCCGCCAGCTCCCCTTGCCATCAGCCTGTACCGCCCAGGCCCGAGACGTGGAGCGACGAAGCAACCGTCGGCCATCACTGTCAACTGGAAGCTCGAGGTAGCGTGAATCAGGATCACTCGGGTTCAGCTCCGACGGCACCCACCTGAAATGGTGCCTGGTGTTGGAGGCCACGCTCAGAGCCAAAAGGCGACGGCAAGCACCCAGAAGACCTCGATGTTTAGCCCGACCCTTCTCGAAAGCCAGGATGGCGGTCATGGAGTCCCCAAGGTGTAGATGAGTCTTACCGAAACTGGAGACCGCCCGTAACTTGTGACGCACCGCCAGCAGACCCGCGCGAGCCTCCAGACAGAATATCGGCTCCTCGTCCTTCCAAAAACTCCGAACGACCTTGGTCCACGTGGGGCCCACGAGGTTCTCTTTCGGGACCTCTCTGAACGACTTGTCCAGCGACCAGAGCGACGACCTGTCACGACAAGGCTTGACGCTTTCGATGTCCCCCCAGTCCAGCGATAAGAAGTTGTTGTCCCTGGGCGCAACTCGATCGTACACATCCCACTTGAAACGCCATCTCTCCTCCCATTCGCATTCTGAACGAACCTGAGCCGAGCCCCAAGGCGCCGTGACAACCCCTGCCCCACACGTACTAGCGTCGAAACAGCTCACGAGCGGGTCGAAGTCCCTTCCCAGATCAGCGAACGCGAACGAGATAAGACACCCAGCGGCCCAGCACTCCCTAGCCGCCGAGGGCCAGAGACGCACTCGAGAGGTGTAACTCGAACGAATAAAGTCATAGGCACTGTTAAAGATGGACAGGAAGAGCCGATTAGGACCGAAGTGGAAGGTGGTATGGCCCAGGAGTCTCTCAATCTCCTTACCTGACACATACGGAGCACCTGCCAACCAATCCAAAACTGCCTTCAACTTCCACCTCTTTTGCCTTTTTCCTTGGACCGTGCTATACAGGAAGTCGATCTCAAGGCCGAGCGTAAGAGTCCACTTGCTGGCAGACGTGCGCTCGTGGACTCTAAAGCCCACACTCTCGACCCCGTCGAAAACCTGGTTGGCGATCCTATCGGTCTGTGACTTACCTTGGCCGAAGATGCTAATGTTGTCTATGTAGACGTTGTAAGCGGGCCGATCGAGACCAGGAGGAGGCTTACATGATACCAGGAAGCTGTCGCCCTCGGAGCCCGAGAAACGATGCGCCAGGGACGTTGTAGCAGACTGCGCAAAGTAACAGGCCCAAGACCACCCCATGGGAACGACCCTGGACTGTGGAAAGATTCTGTCACCGGGGAGAACAGGGAGACCATCGACATTGTGAATACCAGCCTGAAGAGGTCGCAGACCTGACACGGGCGGCAGGGAACAATATGGACTAAGGCCTGGTGGAAGCCCGCAGCAATGAAAATAATCCTTTACGTCGCCGAGGGCCACGTACGGGTCCCCGTCGCCGCGCGAGTGCAGTAGCCGAGCAACGTCAGCCGGCCCACCCAGCCGAACGTAGGGGCTCTCACGCATCCTGCGATTACTCGGACGGCAGTCAAGTATCAATCTCAAAGTGCCAGCCTTCTTCCTCACAAAGAAGGGGGTGACGATGACATGGGACGTGCGGCCGAAGCGAAACAAACCCGACCTGTGACCCCTCATCACGAAGTCGAAGTAAGCGTCAGCGTCGGACTTAAGCACTGGATCCATATACGGTCTAACATGCTCCTCACACTCAGTAGTATGGCCCCAATCGTCGGGACCGTGCAAGATCTCCTCTTCGAAGTTGACGAGACATTCTCTGGCCCTGCCCTCCAGCACCGTGGACAGGTCGACGGGCTCCGCCCCAAGCTGGGGCATGGAGAGCAGATCCTTGTCGTAACTCGCGATGGGAAGTTCAGGGCCACCAGCGTAATCCTGACCTGCGCCGAGCAACTCCACGCGGGCTGCCTCGGCATTAACGATCTCCGGGACGTCAGTCCGATGTACGTCCAGAAGGTGGTGAAGAGCCGTAGCCTGCGACATGGTCGGACTCGAAAAACTTGGAGGCTGGCGCCCACCATGCAACCAATTAAGCGCCTTGACGGAGTCGACGGCGCGACTCAAAACTGCCTTCCTGCGGTCGAAGCGCTGCTGCAGCCTCCTGCAGCGGTGCCTCGGCCAGGACGGCGAAGACCATGAAGGCGGTATAGGAAGAGGTAGAAGCTCACGAGGAGCAGCACGGTTGTCGGACATCGTCAGAGATCGACGTGCGACGAAAGCACCCGCTGGGGTGCCCAAGGGGTCGAGCTCGACCCCCTAGTTCTTGGTGCCCTTGTCCTTGTCCTTCGAGGGCTGACCTTTGCCCCCGAGCCTGGACTCATCGACTGCCTTCCTCTTCTCCTTCAAGATCGCTGCCTTAGCCGTCAGCCTGTTAGCGGTGTAGCTCATGGGTGACTCAGGAGTGCTCCCCGTGCCCCTCGTCTCAGCCCAGCCCATCATGATGTCGGCTGCGCTGTAGTCCGGGTTGCTGGGAGACGAGGCGTGCGCCTCCTCCAGCACGCTCTTGCGCCTCACCAAGAGCTCGGCCCCTACCAGGTTCGGCAGGTTACACTGATCGATGCACTGCAACGCATTCAGAACCTCACAGATCAGCTTGTACTCGTGCACCGACCTGTCCCCAGGAGGAATGCGAGCCGCGACGGGCCACTCACGAGCCTGGGTCTGCCAGGTCAGCCCCTGAGACCTCAAAGTCTGTGCGGTGCCCAACGTGATGCGAGGACCCTTCGGGAAGCCATCGAGGTCAGGCTCCTCGAACAACTCTAACACTCCGTCGTTGAAGGTACGACTGCGAACGCCATGCTCGAAACGGGGCTCCATAATGCGACAATCACTCACCTCCGACGCGTAGAGATCGATCTTGTCATCCCTGAAGCTGCCAACCTTCTGCGTCGGCACCCACTCCACGAAAACGGCCACGGTGTTGCCCGACGGCAGCGTGCAGGTCGACACCGCCTTCACGCTCGCGAGCGGGCCCGTGGGAGCAACAGGCGCCTCATCCCCGATCTTCATGTTGCCGCACGGCTCCGCCAGGAGCCACTTCCCCGCGCCTGGGACACCGATCGCACCCGCCTGGACCTGCGGCGCCGCGACAGCCTGGCCCCAGCCCAACAGCTGAGTTTGCACCTCTGCGTTGCCGAGCGCTGCCTGCAGGACCGCCTGAGTCGGGGCAGCCCGATAGGCGTACACCGGCAGGTGGGGCGGCGCTGGCGGGCGACCCGCATCATCCAGGAAGGTGACCCCCACGATGTCGGGATCGTTGCGGTAGTCCTCCTCATACTCGTCCTGATCAGGCGTCGCAATCCAGGCTGAACCGCCGTGTAAGAACGCCTCCCCCTCGAACTCGACCAGCAGGCGTCGCCAACTGCACAACCCCGCACTTGTCGGCTGTGGCCACCCGTCCAGGCGCATCTGCAACTGGGGCACCGCAGGAGGAGCTGGCCCCTGTCGTGGCGGGGGCGCCGCGGGCGGCCCCATCAGAGGCGGCAGTCCTCCGACGTACGCCATCGCAGCACCAAGCACAGACGGCCACCGAGGTACAGCAGGCGCTCTGTAGAACGCAGAAGAGGTTGATCCACGAGAAGGGCTCGGATGGGAGACGGCTGTGGGAATGGTTCTCGATGTACGTCTGATTGACAGATCCGTTTCCCGAGAGGCGCGAGAGGGAGTCACACGTGCAGTTACAAACACCAGTGTTATTAACCTCCACATCCACATGAACGGGCTGCATCGCTTGCAGCCAGGTCTGCTTCTCTGATCCCAACATGAACCCCCACAACGTAGCGACAGCCACATGGAAAGATTTTGGGAGGCCCATAGACCGACAAGAAAACAGCTTGAGCAAAAAAGACGGACTACGGACACATAATCAACAGAGTTTCAATTCATCTGATGACTGTGCAAACCACGGCGCTCACGCCAAACATAGATGGATTATCCCGCAAGCTAAGGAACATATATATATATATATATATATATATATATATATATATATATATGTGCATATATATGTAAAGAGCGCTTGGGGCTTCTTGGGGCTTCTCGGGGCTGCCGCTCCACCCATTGACGGAGACTAAGAAAACCTGTGCCAATCAGGCGGCGACCCAGGAACGGTCTCAGGTTCTTGGACCAGAGGCCGCAGAGGCCGCATGTAGACGTACATGAAGGTTTCTGGGGAAGCCTCTCGTTGGGGCTCTCTTGGGGGTCTCCTGGGGGCGTCCTGGGAACCTCGGGGGGCCTCTTGGAAGCCTCTTGGGCGGGTCTCTGGAGGCCCTTGGGGGCCTGCCGCGGGCGTCTTGGGGGCCTTTTCGGGGCTCCTAGGGGTCTCTGAGGGGCCTCTCGGGGGCCTCCTGGGGCGGGGGCGCTGGAAGGTTCAGTTGGGTGTCCCGTTTTGGGCCCCTCTTGGGGCCCTACGGGGACGCGTTTGGGCCGTCCTGGGCGCCCCTTGTACTGCGTTGGGCCCCTCTAGGGCCGTCTTGGGGCTCTCTTGTGGGCTTCGTGGGCCGTCCTGAGGCGGTCTAGGGAGAGTCGGAGGTCGTAGAGGACGGTACGAAGGCCAAAAAATCGATGATAGTAAAAACGTGCATTTTACGAAGGGAACGGGCGTATTTTTGCTTCCCGGGGCCGTCTGGGGGGATCTCTTCGAGATGTCTTCGAGCGTGTTGGAGGCGTCTGGGGCGGTTCGAGACGCCTCTAGAGCCGCCGGAGACCGCTGGAGGTTGTCTTCGGGGTGGCTCTGGGCGGCCTGGGGCCGCCTGGACGGCCGTCTGGGCGCTCCAGGGGCCGACCTGGGGCCCGGCGGGGAGCGGGCTGGGTTCGACGTCCCCCTATTTGTAGTCGAGGCTGCGGCCCCGGGGCCCCCGGGCCCAGTGCGGCGTTATATGTATACTAGAACCACGCGCGCGCGCTTCGCGCGCGCTTAGGTTCTGTCGAGTCACAGACCCAGGAATCGTTGCGAGAAGAAATTGGTGACGCGAAGCGTCTTGGGGGCGTCCTTGGACGTCTGGGGTCTCCTGGGGCCTCTTGAGGGGCCTCCTGGGGGCCTCCTGGCGGCCTCTTGGGGCGGAAGGCTCGAGCTTGCGGTTCGTGGTCCCCCTCTGGGCCCCCTCTTGGGCCCGTCTTGGGGCCCTCTTGGGCCATCTTGGGCGCCTCTTGGGCCGTCTTGGGGCCCTCTTGGGCTGTCCTGGGGCCCTCTTGGAAGTTTTTTGGGCCGTCTTGGGGCGGTCTTGGGCGCCTCTTGGGCCGTCCTGTAACGTCGGAAAGCCCAAAAGGCGACTTGGTTGAAAATGTACGTTTTACGAACGGAATGGGCCAATTTTTGCGTCTAGGGGCCCTCTTGGGACGCATGTTGGAGGCTTCTTGGGGCCTCTTGGGGGCGTCCTTGGACGTCTGGGGTCTCCTGGGGCCTCTTGAGGGGCCTCCTGGGGGCCTCCTGGCGGCCTCTTGGGGCGGAAGGCTCGAGCTTGCGGTTCGTGGTCCCCCTCTGGGCCCCCTCTTGGGCCCGTCTTGGGGCCCTCTTGGGCCATCTTGGGCGCCTCTTGGGCCGTCTTGGGGCCCTCTTGGGCTGTCCTGGGGCCCTCTTGGAAGCTTCTTGGGCCGTCTTGGGGCGGTCTTGGGCGCCTCTTGGGCCGTCCTGTAACGTCGGAAAGCCCAAAAGACAACTGTGTTAAAAATGTACGTTTTACGAACGGGATGGGCCAATTTTTGCGTCGAGGGGCCCTCTTGGGACGCATGTTGGAGGCTTCTTGGGGCCTCTTGGGGGCGTCCTTGGACGTCTGGGGTCTCCTGGGGCCTCTTGAGGGGCCTCCTGGGGGCCTCCTGGCGGCCTCTTGGGGCGGAAGGCTCGAGCTTGCGGTTCGTGGTCCCCCTCTGGGCCCCCTCTTGGGCCCGTCTTGGGGCCCTCTTGGGCCATCTTGGGCGCCTCTTGGGCCGTCTTGGGGCCCTCTTGGGCTGTCCTGGGGCCCTCTTGGAAGCTTCTTGGGCCGTCTTGGGGCGGTCTTGGGCGCCTCTTGGGCCGTCCTGTAACGTCGGAAAGCCCAAAAGACAACTTTGTTGAAAATGTACGTTTTACGAAGGGAATGGGCCAATTTTTGCGTCTAGGGGCCCTCTTGGGACGCATGTTGGAGGCTTCTTGGGGCCTCTTGGGGGCGTCCTTGGACGTCTGGAGGCCATCTTCAGCATCTCGGAGCCCTCTTGGAGGCCTCTTGGAAGTTTCTTGGGCCGTCTTGGGCGCTTCTTGGGCCGTCTTGTCTGACTGGGGAGGCCTCCGGCAAGCCCCGACGAGCCTCCGGGCCCCCCGGGGCGCACATTTGTGGTCGGGGTCCCGGCCCCGGGCCCCCGGACCCGGTGCGCCGTTATATGTATAAGAGCGAGAGAGAAATAGAGAGAGGGGGAGCAGAAGGAGGAGGAGGAGCAGGAGGAGGAGGAGGAGGAGGAGGAGGAGGAGGAGGAGGAGAGGAGGAGGAGGAGGAGGGAGGAGGATGGAGGAGGAGGAGGAGGAGGAGGATGAGGAGGAGGAGGAGGAGGAGGAGGACGAGAGAGTGGAAGAGGCAGAAACGATATAACCGCTTCCTCCTGGGGTCCTGGGGTCCTGGGGTCGCGGTGGATGTGCATGAGCTCCGGCCTCGGAATGGTGCTGCGACCGAGGTCTGACGCGGTGGGGCTGGCCCGCTTTCTGCTCGGCCGGGGCCAGGGCACTGGCAAGGAACACACACAGCTTGAGCCAGGAGGGAAGGGGAGAGAAAGGATGAGGAGGAGGGGGGTCGAGAGGGGAGGTGATCAGGGCGAAGGAGGGGATCGGGGGTGGGATAGAGGAGAGAGAGGGGGAGGAAGGGGGAGCGGAGGGCAGGAGCGGCGAAGAAGGAGTCGAGGAGCGGGGAGAAGACAGGAGAGAACGAATTATGGTGAGAAGGAATAGGAGGAGGAGGAGGTGGAGGAGGAGGGGGAGGAGGAGAAGGAGGGAAGGGGAGACTGAGGACTGACTGACCGCTGCGACCTCGCACGGCGAACTCCCCGAGCGGTGTGCTGAGGTCGCGGTCGATTGGAGGGCTCGGGCGTCCCTGCCCTCAGACACGGACGTCAAGAGCCCCAAAAATCTTGGGGTCACAGGTGGCCCGAGGGCTGAGGAGGAAAGATGGAGCGGGCGAGTTGAACAGGAAGAAGGGGGGCGAGGAGGGGAGAAGAAGGGAAGCGAGGAG